TTTTTCAAAGATTTTATGGACTAATGAGATGAGAGTGACTCTGGACCAGATGGATGGTCCCGTGGCTGGATCAGTGGGCACAGAGCTCCATTTCGACTCATACGGATGCTGTAGTTGCTCCTGCACAAAAATCGTCACCATGTCAAAAAACAGACCCCATGAATGAAAGGCTTAAGGCCATTATTGAAAAGGATGGCTATATTGGTCACTGATTTTTTTATTTCATTTTTTTTTATGTCAGAAATGTTTATCTGTAAATTTTGAGTTGTTTACTATTCTGGCAGATGAAAATAAACAAGTGAGAATGGAAAATATTCATTTTTCACTTAGTTAGGTAATAATTCTGCACATTAATAGTTGCTCACATTGTGCACACATAGATTTTCTTCTCAGTAAGTCAAAACTTCAGTTTTACTTTCTTAAATATTCAGGTTTGAGGTTTATTAATATTTTGGATTGACTAACAGCACTGTAGTTGTTCAATTATAAAATTAATCCTCGTATATAATTTGAACAGCAAGTATTGATATGCATGATCTTACCTTCCCAAAAAACGGTAGGAAAATAATATGCACGATGTTGACTTTGTATTCATTATGATGATAAATAGGATGATCTGTAATGTATTTATTTTTTTTACTAGAATGGGACTAAAGTAAGCAATCAAAACATAATTTGTCAAAACTCAACACAGTGCCTTGTAAATTAAGGCTTCTATATTAGGCAAAATTGACTCTTATTAGCAAGCCATGTTATAACATTATTACCTCCTAAAAATCATACCTGGAGTTGTGTTTTGTTTCATCCCCACATGTTTGAGTAACACTTTATTGTTAGTTTGTCTACATCTCTAAAGCTGAAAATGCTCTGTTCCATCTTGTGATGTCATGATGTGGTAGTTTTTAAGTTATCAGCTACCTTTTACCTTTAGTTCAGCAAAGATAGGCAATTTTAGGGCTAAAATCACCCAAATGATTTTAGCGAAAGGTGTATGGAGCTTAAAAACACACAGGAGCACTTCTTGTATTACCACATGAGATCATAAGGTGGTACAGAGTGCATTCTTTTTGAGGAAAGAAATCAGCCTAAATATGCATCGTTTGTGTGTGAACATGTGAATGAAACAAACACAACTCCAGGTATGTTTTGGGGGAATGAGGAAATGAGGAAACAAAAATATAACAGATCAGAAAACAGCACAATATGGGCCCTTTAAAGTAGATCCTATCTGCTTTACTTGATATGAATATTGTTTGCCGATCTTATGTTCCTTGTACAGCTTGCGTGTGTCTGCTGTTAACCTCAAACTCCAGACCACCACACTAAAATATGCATCAGTAAATGTTCCCTTAAGTTTGAAATATTCCCAAGTCTTACTTCAGATCCCTGTCAAGTCTGTGTGTGAAGTGCTCATGAACCACACTGCAGGCTGCGTTTGGCTTTGCTGTAAAGTCCTCCTGTCTTGTCTCCTGGCTGCATGCTGTGATCCTCAGTCAGAGCACAGATGGAGCTGACAGGAGCAGCAGGAGCAGATAGGGCTAGGGGAGGAGGAGGTCTGGACAGGTGTCATCTGCTGCACAATTAACACCTTCATGAATAACATTATGGAGTCTAGGAGCTAAGAGAGACGCCCTCACAGACAGGTGGATCTAAAGACGTGTTTGAGGCCATTCATCTGTGTTTGGGCTTAGGTTTAGTGTGGTTGATTATCCTTGATGTTATGTAGTGGACTTTTCTGGAGGGGGTTCATACTTGATTGTCTCCATGGAGATATTATTGCTTTGCCTTGAGAGTAGATGCTGAACTGATATATCCTATCCTGCATTTAAAAACATGCATTATTAATGTAGGTGGGCTGATCTATCTATAGGGTTGACTTGTAACTTTCCCTGATGGCACCACCTGCGTGTCTCCATGTAGATGTTATAGTGTGTCCAGGAATAGTTCACAGCGTGACATTTCACATTAAACTTATCTAGCTTGCATTTGCTCAGTTGTTCAAGTGTTTCTATTGCTTAAAATCTTACTGTTAGCAGAGTAGCTTCTCCAAAGATCTGACCTGCAACTTGCTCTTGGTCATTATCTTACAGTCTTGGGTATAGTGGAGTTCAAAGCTGATCTGTAACAACACAAACTCAGTTAGACCCATTAAGCCTTTATAGCTGTTACTATATTTTCTCATTGTTGTGGACTATGGGGTTGTCTAAAGTTCAAACTAAATCTCTCTCTAAATCCTTATCCACAAACGTGATTTATGCCAAGAACAGAATATTATCTGTTCTTCTCTCTATTATTTACTGTAGCAAATTCACTGGACAATTTCTGTACAATCCAAACAGAAACAACACCACAACTCAAAGAAGAATGACAAATACCTCTGTTATTTAGCTATTCTAAAAAGCCGTATCTTCACATTAAACTCATAAAACTGGCTGCCGTTTGCCCGACACCTGTGCTCTGGAGCAGTAAAGAAAAGTAATATTTGCAGGCAGGGCCCAGAGGAGAGAGGAGGGAGACAGACAAAATGAGAGCTTTAGACTGAATAAAGGCAGGGACACTGGAGAGGTGTGAAAGCAGTCCCTGTCTCGCCTGGTTCATTTGACAGTTGGGTTTGATCCTGGCACTGGGCCCTGGCACAGACACAGGACAACGTTATTGCTCTCTGCTGGATACTGTCGACTGACGCACTTCCCTGTAAGAATAGGCTCATGACTCCCTGTGAGCTTAAGGAAGAACAAAGGCTGACACTGATGTAGTCCTGAAGATGTGGACTTGGTTTAGACATGTCACTTCTGGTTTAGGTTGGATTTCATCTAGGCTTTAACAGGGAGCTGTCTTATAGTACTCTCTGGATTATATTTAATCACAGTTATGTAATTACTTATGCAAATATGCCTAAAATTGAATATGTGTAAAATTAAGGTGTAGGGAAGAAAGAAGAAGAAAATATGTGTAATTTATAATATAATATAATGTTTATAATGTGTTTGTGATTAATTTTACTTAAGGCAAATGGCTTTCTTCTGGGTTTTGAAGAGCAGAATGAGTACCCCTTCAGAACAAAATAATTTCATGCGCCATTTTTGCTATTGATTGGAGTAACAATGATAATAATTGTACTGATGATTAAGATGTGAATATTTGCACAGCAGTACTGCTGTCGTTTAGTCTATAGTCATTATAAGCTCAATTTTAAACTTAGTTAAACTTTCAAACTTAGATTTTGTTCCATAAAAGCTTGATTAAGTGCTGGTTTAGACCTGATGTAATTCCTTTCTTTATTCTTTATTTGTCAGGGGCTATGTACAAATAAATTAATCTTACAAAAGAAAACATCATTTGTATCAGACTTATCTACTTTCCAGGTAGCAGTAGTCCAGTGAACACACATTAAAAATATACATTTCATTACAACTGCATTATAAGACTTAGTTCATCATAAACATTAACAGTAAAATATGATAATATGTCACCATTTCCAATACAGTATGTTAATCTGGTTTTGATTCAGACAGTGTTTCCTGAAAGATAGATCTGACAGTTCACTGTGAGGACAGTCTCACACTTCTGAATGTGTGAAAGGTAGCATTAAAGACTGAGTGGGTCTGATTAGTACTGAATCCTGAACATGGTGAGTGGTCCTTTACTTCCAATTTACAATTCAATACATTAAAACCTGATAAAGAAAAGTGTATTCACATTTGTTCTGGTTTGGTTGTTTGAGACTCCAATAGTCCAGATATATACTTGATCTAGCCCTGTTCTGTTCCTAGTCTAGTCCTGGTTTAGTCCCAGTGTGCGTGCAAGAGTGACCGCACCTTTTGTCCACTATTTATAACCGTAGCCTATAACTAGGTTTCAAACAGTTTTTTTTTCTCCTTGACATTAAAACATGTGCAAAGGGGCTGCAAACAGTGGAGCAGCTGCGTGATAATTATTGGTCAATCTATCAAACCCTATTGATCTATATCAGCCCCTCTGCTCTGCACACCAAAGCTAGAACACTAAGCTGTCAGTATTTCCATATGAGAGGACAATAAAGATGCAGGACCACAGTTGATGTGACTGCTAATTATTTAGAGATGATGTGCATTGGAGAGAAAGCGAATGGGATTATTTGACACCAGTCCTGGTTTAGACAGGATTTAGACATGGTTTAGTTCTGGTAGTTTGGTTTTAGTTCATGGTTAGCCACAGTTTAGACTTGGTTTAATCCTGGTTTAGGGTTTATGAGTGACAGTTAAAGGAAAGTGGATGGCATAATGATTTAGTCCTGGTTTAGTCTCAGTTTGGTACTGATTGGTTGAGTTCTGACTGGCTGAGTTCTGGTTTAGACCATATTTATTGCTGGTTTAGATAATGCATGCTTCAATCTTTATTTAATCCTGGTTTAGCCCTTGTTAACCTCTGGTTCAGTAGTTTTGTACATTATGAAGTAGATGTGCAATAGAGAAAAATAGGGTGGCGTAATGATTTAATCCAGTTGAGTCTAATTTAGCCCAGGTTTAGCCCTGATTTAGTTCTAGTTTAAACCTAGTTCTTGTATAGACCTGGGGTAGCTCTTGTTTAGACTTCTTTTAAAAGCGGTATAGGCGTTACACATTACAGCGTGCAATGGGGCCATCCGTTTTCCTCCGTTTAGGGTTATGTTCTGGTTTAGTCCTGGTTTAGTCCAAGATTATCCAGTTAAATGTCTAATCTTGCTTTAGCCCTGGTTAACTCATAACGTAGAGGTGACTGGGCTGTGGCGAGAATGTGGGCGGGATTATCTGAGTAGAATTGCACTGAAGTTGAAATGCAGAGCCACGTCACTCATAGGCTGCTCTCTGTGTGCTTTTGAACACGAGCCCATTCACTGGCAGCACTCACAACCGGCTGTAGCGCGAGGAGAGCGTGTCACTGCGGATGACAAAGACGGAGGGGAAGAGGGGGAAGAAACAGAGAGAGGGAGAGAAAGAGGCTGCCTCCGAGAAGACATCTTTAGTTCTGCTCCAAACATCAAACGGAACAAGATGGATTTTTGCACAACGTGAGCCACACTAGAGGACGTTATTTTGACTGCACAGGTTTGGAATACAGTTTATAAAAATATGTATGCGTGCATATGCAAAACAGTTATATTTACAGATGCAATTAAGTCTGAAATTATTCAGATTGGTCAAATTTTTACTGAAACAGAAAAGTGTAAGAAACTTCATCTTTCCTTAAATGTACAGTTTATAATTAGATAAGTCATACTTTTTTTAAACAAATTTTGAGTGATCCTTTCTTGGTTAAGGGACACATTTTTGGGAGATGTGGTAAACCTTTAAGCATCTACAAAATCATGCTATATTTACATTTTTGACATGAATCCAAACTATCCATTTTTCTTATTAATCAATGACATTTTTACATTTATTTTTAACAGAGCAGTCAAGTTTTCCTTAACACTTGTAATTTTGTTGGACCAATTTCTTATGCATAGATCTCCATTTTTATGTTACTTTGGTTAAGATAATTCATGTGCACAATTTCACAATGTCTATATCAGGAAGACCCATGTGTGTAAGTATTGTTAGAAAAATATGAAATTTGTGGTGTAACCAATTATAACTAAACCTGTAGTTTCTATGGCTAGAGTCCACTAAAGAAATTCTAACAACATGTCCTTCCCGTCAATTAGTCGACTGAAGGGGGTGTGGCAAAAGCTCTCAAAATTATTACATAGCTATCTATATACTGTATCTGACCCAAACTGTACTCACAAGACCTGCAAAAGAGTTCATGCAAAAAGTGCAAGGAAACAATGTATTTTTATAAACAAATTAAATTTGTGAATGAGTTTTTAAATACAAAAATAAAAATAAAACTTCAGATAACTTATTAAAAATCCCAGTAAATAATTAATAATCTAAATAAAATGATTAGTCGACTAACACAAATTTTGGCTGATTAAAACACCCTTGACCAATTAATCGACTAAGCGACTAAACACCTACAGCCCTCCTAGTTTCAATACAAAATCTGTGACAGTACTAAACCATTTTATCTGCACTTGATGGGAACTTCTAGTCAAACTGTCACCAGCCCCTACAGAGAAACATAATATAAGACACAGAAATGACGCATAAATGATTCAAGTGAAGAGGCAGACTTTGATGTGTAAGACAATTGTCAACATTTCAGAGTCACTAAGCAGAACAAATGAGGTTAATGTCATTTGTCATTGCGCCATAGGCAACCTTGGACAATAACCAGACCTCCCATTTTGAAAAATATAATCCATAATACAATATGGTTTTAGGGCACACTATAATAGATGGGGTTTGCTTGTGCCTACTGTGATGTGTGACTCACCAAAATGAGCTGTTAACAGGCCCAGACTACACTCAATATTGGCAGCATCTGTGAAGGATATCAGCAGTAATTATAAAGGAGTGAAGAGAAGGAGAAGTGTGAAATATCTAAATGATATTAGCCAGTGAATACGTGCCAAAACACAACAAAGCAAAAGGCAAATTATCACCAGTGGACACTGACTGGACACCCCTCATTGAGACTGCACAGTGTCATCTATTATTATAAGAATCATTAGACAGAGAATGTTCACAAACTAATTTGTATCAACTATTCTGTTCATAGAAGTCAGAAGAATATTGTCAGCAGATTCTTTGTTCTTTTTCTTTTTTCTTTCTCAACACAAAGAAATAAAGAAATTAAAGAACAAGCTGATAATAATATTGTACTGAACTGTACATTGTTATAATTTGTGTTGTCTCGTTTGTAAAAGAAATCAAGTAGAATCATCATAAGTGATGATAAGATGAATGCCTTCAAAATAAAATGTATAAATTTTTATCTGTATTTAGGCATGTTTGAGCTTTAACAAAGTCAAATATTACACTTGAGAACTGATTCAGTTATTGAGCAGTTGAGGTTTACTTTACTTTACTTTTGAGAAAGGCCAGTTTTATTTTTAGACTTTCTAGCTGGGCTTAAGGTAGATGTGCTTTAGACCAGTAATTTTGTCCTTAATGTAAGACTGGTACTTTCACTCCATGAATCAACATCTCATTAAGCCTTAAACTTGTTATGTCTCCACATATATCACAAAGCACATCGTCATCAAATTATTCTACACAACTATCATATATCTCCTGTGCTTTCCCTCCTACACCTCCTTGTATAGTTCTGATGTGCCTGACAGGAACAGCTGCATCACCTCCTCAGTGTGTGTGTCTGTCTGCTCTGCACACATAAGGATGTGAACACATACACACACGCACACACGTACAGACACGTACACATACACACAAACACAGCGGCGCTCACTTTGATGTGCAAAATATGTGAGGGAACGGGATAATAGTGGGACAGTGGCCTATCGACCCTGGCTCTTCCTGGAGAGCGCTCAGGTGGGCTGGGAGATTGTCATTCAGATTCAAAGTAATCAATCAACATGCGCTGTCCTGATGCGAACATTTAAATTCAAAAGGGAAAAAATTGTCTTTACCGGATTATTTTTGTACTCATATAATTAGACATTCATGACAGATTACGTGACAATGTTGGGTTACATAATCATATAGAGAAATATTCAACCTGTACTATAATATATATATATATAATACTGTATTTGGTCAGAAATTAAATAAGTCAGAAACTTCACAATAATGTTTAAATATATTACAATATTTCATAATTTAAGGTAGAATCCAAACATTTTACTGCTCAGAAAATAATGCTACTTTCTAAGAGAAAAAAGATGATGGTATTATCTCTAAAGTTTATGCCGTTTTTGCTCAATTTTGGCAACTACTTATTTGTCCAAACCAGTGGACAGGTGGCACAACTAAAGGTCCTATATTACGCAAAATTGACTCTTGTGAGCTGTAAGCCATGTTATAATGCTGTTACCTCATCAAAATCTCATCAAAATGCTTTGTTTGACCTTGAGACGTTATAAAGCTGTAGTTTTCAAGGTAACAGTTACTTTTAACTTTTTGTTTAGTTGAGGTTGACAATTCCAAGGCTGAAATTATCCAAATGATTGTTGAATGAGAATTTTCTGTTTGAAGGTAGAACGCAGCCAAAATATGCACAGTTTGTTTATTGTGAATGAAACAAAACACAACCCTAGGTATGTTTTTGATGAGGGAACAACATTATAACATAGATCAGAAAATATGGCCCCTTTAAACAAGTAAAAGTCACATATAATCATAATATTAACTTTCTTCTCCATGAGGTTATTAAGGCCATGTGATGTAGATAGTTAGTAGCTCTAAATGTCTGTCTTCTTGCCTTCTGTGAACTTTCTCGGAGCTTTCATCATCTGTGCGTGTTTAGCCAGGGCCCAGCGGAGGGTTATCTACAGAATTAGGGCTCAGCCTCGGGTCTGTTTGGGATGATCTGGCTTTGAATATAAAGTCCTCTCTTCCCTTATCACCTCACAATCTGCAGTCGGAACTGAGAGAGGGAATTTGGAAGGAAAACTCTCTAGCCATGAAACTTTAAACATAGCTGGCAATGACTTTGTTTCTACCTGATTTAGATCTGATTCACTCCTGGTCAACAGATAACATTATAAATCTGGTCTAGTCCTTGTTTAACCTGTATTATTTTTGAGCACTGCTCCTGGTTAAATCTTGTCTTGGTTTGAATCTGAAATTAAAGTTTAATCCTAATTTAGCCTCTGAACTGAGACATATCTTTGTATCAATCTTGGAGTAGTCCTGGTTAAAATCTGGCTTAGACACACTTCAATTACTAGTTCAAACTGGTTTTATCCTGGTCTTGTCTTCGTTTGGTGAGCCAAAGCTGCTGTTCTTCAGTGCATTCTTTAAGGGGACAAATTTAACATTTATGACATTAGTTGTCTTCTTTGCGTCTGCTCAGCAACAGGCAGGACTCCGGGAGGATAACTATGCACACACGCTGTATTTACCAACACTGTGGCTCAAATGCCATGACATTTCACTGCATGACGAGTCCCTCCATAATTTATGAAGAGGACAGCTCATATACTGAAACACAGAAGGTTCTTTTCAAGATCTAATTGATTAAATGCTGCATCTAGAGATTTTTATTATTATTATTATTTTTTAAAGATTCCATTTATAATAGAAGCCAAACTAAAACTATTCAACATGACATTAGAAATTACTGAGCTTTCAGAAAACAAAAATAAAACTATTAAATTAAATTATACTATATGTTTTTATTGGCCCACATAGCAGTATATATCACAATGCTTTAAATAATACTGTTTGGGTAAAATGTGTAATTCTGTATGGAAAAAAGAGTAGAAAAGATCACATCTGTCCATTTTCATACAATTTCAAATTTAAAAAGCTTTCCATTAGCATTCATTGCTTCTAGCTTTTTGTTAAACCCTTTTTCTAATGGCCACCATGAAAACACAACTCAGGCTTTGTTAGCTCATAATGCCTCACTTTGGACAGACAAAATCAGCCTTTGCGCGAATTTGCATTGAAGCATTGAAACTGTCATTTGAATAAAACAAGTTTGAGATCCATATTTGTAATCCCACCAGGCTGTGCAGAAGTAGTACAGAGGATGAAGAAATACAAGTCAGGATATTGCAACATTAAGACCTAATCTGCATAAAATGAACACTGAAATAAGATATATTTTTCAAGCAGCAGAAATGATGTCTCTCTGGCTCAGAGCATGAAACTGCATCACTGCTAAATACCTTTATGTCGTCATATTTCATAATCCCTTTGAAAGAGGCAAAAGGAAGTCTAAAAAAGGGTAAAACATGGATTATCAATTAATTACACAATACAGACAGAATACTATACTAGATTTGTTCTCAACGTTGTGTAAGACTCTTGATCTGTACTCTGGAAAATCTTTTTTGATGACCCACCTCTGTATGTTGTCTTATTATCATATTAAATCTTTCTTAGCCATGCAGTTAACACCACATTTTCTCAAAAATAGTAGACACTATATCGAAACTGGGACTAAATCTGGAACTAAACAACAACTGCTGTAAAAAGCCGCTGGTTTGCTTGGGCCCCCTCAGTAAAAAAAATTGTCTGAACACACGGCCCTG